AAAGCATGAAGGACATCAAGAGTTACTGTGAGACATCTTTAAACAGTAATATGCAAATAGAGAGCAACAACCTCATCCTCTCTCCACCAATATCTCTCCATGATACCAACTTAAATAACTTCCTAAAAGCATTTGTTGGTTGATTGAGGTGATACGATGCAACACACCATTACGTAAATGAGATGCAGATGCACATAGAGCTGTTTATGTTGCATCAGAGGGATAAGGATGAAGTAGAAGTGGCTCTGTTCTGTGGGAAACTAGATGGCCTGCAGGCAGAATATTCTCAAGAGGAGGCAGAGGCCCATTACATTTCCACAAGGCTGCGAAGCTAATGCCTACAGTAATGGCATGGCTGCACTTAGAGAGCCGCAAATTTAATTGCTGATCTGCTGGATGGCCACTGGCACTGACACAGCATATGATCTGGACTGTGTAGAAGAAAGTAACTGTAAGGACATATACACTATATACTGGAATCTTATTACGTTTTTCAGGTACAGGATGCAGATATGACAGTTTAATTAAAATATAGCTGCTTCCTCATTGCTTCACTAAGAAGTCAATGAGAGTCATGTGTTTTTTAGTGTGCTTTCTGCATCAAGGTGATTAGATAGGTTCTAATTAACTTCAACATTGTATTTCTAATCGCCTGTGTTTTAGCATTTGAGTGCTCTGGACAGGGCTATATTCCAAATTTCCAACACAAACAAGGGAAAGCAGCCCACCCACTGCCTGCCATCTTTCTGATGCCCCTAAGAGTGGGATGAAGAGTCATACCTGACTGTGGCGCAAGCCAGTGGGAAACAGTGACGTAAGTCAATTTTGGCAGGACAGTCTGGGCACTGCATTGAGCCAAAGGGCAGCTAGTCAAAAGCACATGCAATGGATCTGTGCCAGCCATTTGATCCATAGATGCTTTCTCATTTGTCCATGCTGGCTGCTATTGTCGGGTTATATAGAGGCCCTTCATTATCTTTTTGACAGATGAATGTCAATTTTAGAAGTATCAAGGACAAACTGCACAAAGGAAAGACAAAAAACTGCAATTGTTGAGGTTTAAATAACTGCTTAGGGCTGCATTTAAAATGCAGGACTGACCTCCTGAAAAAGCTGAGGGCATAGTATTGACCAGCCAGAATGTCTACAAAGTGAAAACTAAAGCAGAATTAGCTTAATTGCTTTCACACAAGAGAGTCTGAAAAAGGAGAAAGTCATTAAGTCTGTTCTAGGGTATCCTAAAAAGCACAGCTTCCAATTAGCTATAACAAGACATTTTCACAACATGAAAGGAATTTTTGCACATCTTCTAATGCACTGACTTTATGTTCACATATTTAATTGATTAATAACAGAGCAGGCAGGTTGACAGCTAAAAGCACAGGAATACTTTAAGTCTGGATGTCAACCTGCCTTGCAAATGTGTGGGTTTCCTGTCAAATGCAGCAAAAGCTGTTAAGCTTGAAACATCACATTATAGAATGTGCTTCTATTTTCAACCTCAAGTTTCCTGAAACACCTTTTTTTTAATCAACCTGCACACAAAAACACTTCCTGCCAGAAGCTGCACAGTACTAACAAAGCAATTGAGACCGAAACTAAAGTACAGTGTCTTTAAAGATAGCAAATATTAGAAATCAAACCAATATAAATGGTTGACTTCTAAATGAATTATTAGAGTATAACTACTTTACATTATACTATTATACTAAATATCACTATCAAATTATATATACCAACAAAAAGGCAACTAAAAGGAAAAAACTGTGTGAGTTTCAGAAAACATACCAACCCCCCATAAAAATGAGATACAGTAAACAATACTGTAACAGCATTCTGAGGCAGGAGGACAGGAAGTGGCAAGAACAGCCAACCAACAAAACTGGTACGGGCAGTTCTAGCTTGCCATTAAGTTAATAGACAAGGAAGTCTATTGACCAAAATTTTCAATCTGCACCACAAAGTCTGATTAAGAAGACTAAGGATGCAACGATCCAATATTGTAATCAGATATTGACTTGTAAAGCTGGATCGCATATCAGTGACAACTTCCCAGTCTCTGCACCAATCTATTCAAATCTTTTAACTGTTGTTCTATGTTTATGTCGCCATGCGACAGCAGCAGAGCTGAAAAGAGCTAACAGCAAAAGAGCAAGCGATTTGGATGTATTTCATGCCTGCTAAACTGACAGCTTTTCTTTATACGTTTTTCATTACGTGCAAACTGTGGTCACGTGAAAAGCTCAGACAACGAAATGTTTTTTGTCTTCTCTCCCTTTTAGTTTTGCTCTCGTTATCTGTGCTGGGAGAGACATTATATAAAGTAGAAACTAGAAGGATGTTGTTTCGGTAAGCTTTTATTACACTTACAGTAACACACTGTGAACTAGATTAATATTTCACTTCAGCTATCTCTTGTCAGTTCCGCATTGTGTGTGTACAAAGAGGCAAAAAAAAAAAAAAAAGACGGAAAAAAAAGCCCTAAATAAACTAGAAACTACCATGACTTTCTCTTTAATTGAGTGGAAATGAGATGTTGGCAAAAAAGATATATAAAATTGTAACTTCAGTTGTTTTTGGTCTGTTCTTTTATGCATTACTTTACTAAAAAAAAAAACAATTAGGTAAGTTTATATTCTTCAACAAATTCATCCATCAAGTTTTATTTTACAACATTAGAAAATAAAATCTTTGTGTAAAGCCCAATAAAAGGATGATTCCCAGTCTCTTTTTCAGTGTGAGGAAAAAAGGTGTGGTAATTTAACACTGGACCTGGATAAGTACTCTGTCTTAGCAGATACCCAAAACCAAGGAATGGCTATCAAATGGAAAAAACTGGATCATGACATCCCTCAAGTTTAAAACTGCACTTCATAAGTCATTTAGACATTTCTTGGTCGTTTATCTCATTCCATGTGTTACATCTGTAGGCCATACTTAGGTCTAGCACATTAAAGAAGTTGAGGTTTTAAAAACATAAACACATTTTCAGAGTGTGTAGTCTTGAACTTTGGGGGGAAAAAACTATGTAACTCTCCACTTGAGACACCAATGAGCCAACCAGGCAGTCAGCAGACTGCTACTGCAGTTTTTCAGCTGCCCGAGGCTCCTGGAATGCAAAGGGAGCCAAGGAGAGAGCAGCAGCACAGGCATGTGTCCGGGAACAGAGAGGACTCAGTGCGCCAAAGAAACAGCCCAGAGGAGATTTCCATCCGATAGCCCTCCATGCTACTGCTGCTGCTGGTAGAGCCTACGTGGGCCTATGAAGGGAGCCCAGAAACGGGGCTCTGCATGGCAGAAGAGAAAGGACCCTTTGTTATTAAGTACGATAGTGTTAAACCCCACAGTGCCTCAGCATCCCTCTGTACTGCCGCAAGGAAAGAGAGAGAGACACAGAGAAAGATGAAGGAGAGAAAGAAGAAGAAACAAGGGAAAAAGGGGGAAATATGATAGTGGTGAAAGATGAGGAAAGGATTTAAGGCAAAAGCAGTACTCTCATTTATACTCACAATGTGTTTTCTCTAGGTATGTTGTCAAAACAGAAAACGCCCCCAAACTCAGGGCCCGGAGTTATAAAAATTTCACTGCAGTTACATAATGTCCTTTAAACTAAGAACCATTAAAGCTTCACATTGTATATCCATTATTCTGCGGATGCTAGGGCTTGTACAATGCATGAAAACAAAACTAGTCAGTCTAAACAATGGGGGAAATAAATAAATAAATTAAGAACATGAGTGAGTTCAGCAAAGAAAAACAGCCTTTCATCTCACGCCTTAATTCTGTTGAAAAAAACCTATCCAACAAAAATAAGCTCTAGGAATTAGACGCAAACATTTGGGTATCGCTGAACAACAACTAGCAGGAGTGACAGCATTATGAAATATTGGGAAATTTTGGGGCAATAAGCCCATCATATTAGTGAATGTATTGAAGTCTTTTCACATAAAACATGAGCTGACAGCAGATGGAAGCTGTAAGCTGGATTTTTAAAGAGCAGACCGAGCGAGGGATGGGCACAAACAACTTACTGTTGAACCTTGACCTGCTCAATAAAGTAGCCAGTAGGCAGGAAAGTGCTATTCACAGCATGTTGTACACATGTTAGAGTAAATCATTTAACTAGCGTGATAAAAATGTTTTGCACATAACTGAAACATATTAATAAAAAACAAAATCTTTTGAAAAAGACAAAAACTTTGGTACATGTTTAAAAAGTCTGGGATGTCTACATGATATGAAATGCTGTATTTATATTAAAACAAAAATAGAACGGTAAAAATGATTACAAAATATGATAACTGGGCTGAAAATCGGAGCTTAAATAAAGGGCTACTGTACGGTATATGTTATGAAACGACCAAAACAATAAGAAGGTGGCGCACAGAGATCGGATCAAAACATTTCTCAGCCTTGTATTATCAAGAGACCACAATAGGAAATTGAACCTGAATACTTCCCAGACTCTGATCTTCAGTATAAACACAACAGTTCACATCTGAACTTCCCTGCTCTCCGCTTTGGGTCAAGTGTCACATCTTACCCTTTCCCTAGTAACAGGAAACGACTCAAAAAAAAAGTTTTACTGGAACAAAAGCGTGGGGTGGGAAACTGCACTGCTGGGAATGAGAGACCCCCCCAGCGCAAACACACACACACACACACACACACACACACACACACACACACACACACAAATAATAGCTCAAAGATGCATCTCTGCAACTGTATCAAATGTGGTCAGCTGGCTCTTTTTAGCAGTCCTACGGCAGTCACACGCTTCAACACGTGCAACTGTACAGTGAGGTATTTAAACAAAGAGTGTGGTGGGCTGCCAATGCCACGGGAACAAAACAAAAAAAAAGCTGAATAAAAAGAGAAAACAACACGATTCAAACAAGCAATACACCTGGATGTACCCGGTTCTTCACCGACTCAGCCTCTTATGTACGCACCATAAACAACACAATACAAGCAGACTTCTTGCTTCCTCGTTCCTTTTTTTGTTCACATGACCAGCTGTAACGTTGTTACAGTGGGTAACTGTTAGACGGGACTCACCAGCTACCACAGACAATTTGCTCTTTGTTTCACTGTATCTGACAAGTCAAGGTGAGATATTTCCACAGATTCAAACTTATATCCAAGAGACCGTCAGAGAAAAAAAATATGACATTTAGCCAAACAGTAACTACGTTTATCATACGCTAGCTTAGTTTAATAATCGACCTCGTTTGTTAAACAAAAATAAAAGGAAAAAAATCAAACTAATTACTTACACTAACGAGTTAGTAAGCGTGACCCTAAGATTGGTTACGCTTTTCCTGGTTATTATTATAATTATTATGTAATGACCAAATACTGACGGGCAGAGAGAGACAGAAAGAAAGACAGAGACAGAAGAGAGAAGACCAAGAGCTCTCGTGTGGCCTGTGTGTGCTTAGCTGGCGAAAATACGTTCAAGACTCACCAACGTAAAGGTTACCAGCGGCGGCGAGCCCTCCTCTCTTACATTCACATTCGAGGCATTAAGGACTGTATAAATGGAGACGCTCGGACCTGAGTATAGAAATATAAAAATACGACGTCCTCGGCGTCAAGTTCCGTCAGTGCCGTTCCGCTCGTCCCCTGTCCTCGACTCAGCCAGCTCTTTATTTTAGGTGAGCGGAAACACTCGCTGTGAGAACTCTACGGGGCTGACTGGCTCTCGCGCGGTGTCCATGGCTACCTCTGTAAAAAAGGGCGGATCCATGGGTTGTCAAGTCACTGGGCCGGATTTCAAAATAAAAGCGCAGAGTTTTGGTGAAGGGAAACAAAAGAATCACTAAAAAAAGAATCAAACAAAAGGACAATAAAAATGCAAATGCTTAACTGTATGCTACAGTTGCATGTAGTTTTTATAAAGTCGTATGAGCCAACAGATTTGGGTTAATAAATATCTGATATCCCGAGATATCAGCTTCAAGAGATAAAAAGCCAAATATTATCAGAGAATTAGTAATAATCGAAAATAATATTCACCTGTTTATCAGTTATGCTTTATGAGATGACAGTAAAATACTGTAAAAATGACTGTAAAGATTTTTCATTTTGTTAACATTCTACAATATATCTAGTATGTAATATCTAATTTTATAACATACTATTTGTCAATTAACATTTAACGTTATGACATGAATTAGGGAAGAATGGAATAATGTGATGTTCCTGTGTTTCCACAGAATCTAAAATGCTAAGAATAGAAAAGAATAGTCCAGAGGGGTTGTGGACATGTTAATAGATTCTTTATTTGTGTGCGCCTTGCATTTTTCATGTTTGAATTATTATACTTTTTTCATGCATAGGTGTTTTTTAATTTATTTGTTAATTTAAAGGTTTGCTCTTTCTGATGATCTCTTTAACAGAATGCTAGTGCCTGTCTGTCTCCCCTTTACTGGGGAGACAGACATATATACATCAACCATGCTTTAAAAACAAATACATTCTGGACATTACTATTATATCACAGGTAAAGTGTGAGATTATGTAAATGTATTAGTATTTGAATTATCTCCCAGGGTTTATATCTAATGAATAATTTTCCCGATGATTTCTGCAGAGGCAACCAACAATGCCTTGGTTGGTGCCTCTGTGAGTGTGTCATTAGATCTTTTGATGTGATTTTTGTTTATTGGTTTTGATGCTACAGCGAAAGAACATCCCAGTGTGTATTAACTCAGATGGCTGGTTCTTAAACTGAGGAGGCAATGCATAGACACATGATCTAAATGTCTGCCTTTATGCAATATGCCTGTAAGAAGAAGGCAGGAAACGAGTGGGAAAATGTTTGCTTTCATTCGCTTAGAGGAGAAATGTGAGATCTTTGAGATTTCTCATTATAGCTAAATGCAGTTTACACATCACTGTAACGTCACTCAGCTCTGCAGATCATGAAGTTTTACTGCAAATATGGATGAAAGAGGGTAGTCACTCCTTTTAAACCCCTTATGTTACTACAGCTTACCATAAGAAAGTTGATCAATTCTTTGCAAACATCACTGCCTATAGATCAAAAAACATTTAACCAATTCTGTCATCCACTTTTAAAGAATGGTTGTCCTAAAGAGAAAAAAAAATTAAATACCGATAAAGAAGTCATGGAAACCAAATAAGGTCTCACTGAGTGATTTTAAATTGGATGATATTAACCAGAATTATCTTTAATGTGAGTTTAATTTCATCCCTATCATACAGTAATCTCTCTTATCCTCTTAAATCCATTCGAGTCACGTGAATAATTTCCTTTTAAATCCCTCAGAGTCCAATAAGAGATCACTAATTTTGACGACTGTTTAATGTTTTGCCAACGTGTTGTGTCTGCATAGCTTTTAAAACACATTTTTAAAATTTACCCTTTCCAGTTTTTCTTAAATTTGGATGCCGTCCTAATCCCTACTCACACCTTTGTCATGTTTTAATTTCCCCTCTTTCCATAAAAGTTTCCTTTCTCTTCTCCTCTCCCCGAGAAGAAATCTCCTTGATAACAGAGGCCCAAGTAAAGGTCAGCCAGTTATAGGATTATGCTAAGACTCCAGTTTGACACCTAGACATGCCACTGAGTCTTGTAAAGAAACTCATACCCAGGAGAGAAACAAGAAGCAGGACACCCACTGTCCAACCGCTTTGTTCATAAAAATTAAAATGTATGCAATAAGGTGGTTTAACAACTAATATCTCTCGCTCTACATTGAAATACATTAGATAAGTAAATGAGATATGACTTATCATGTTCTGTTCTGGATTTGTGTTCACACAGATAAGACTGGGGCATGCTCTGGATGCAAATGTCTATTCTGTGTTAAGATATATGTATATATAACAAGTGCTAGTCTTGTACAGAAGACCGCAGGCTATATGTAAAGTAGCCTGTATTATCTTTGAGTGAGACTGTGCATTAGAAGCCTGTACTAGTGCTGACATCTAGTGGCTCCATCGACTACTTACCTACATGTATAGGTATTTTACTTCATGATATTTGCTGGAAAAAAAGAAAGATCTCCGTATAAATTACTTTATCATTAGAAATGTGTTAATTTACACTCATTTACATTCTAGTGTCGTGATAAAAATAGATGATTACTGGTATTTAGTTATATAAATGAGTTGCCCCATAATCTGTCAAGGAAATCTCAGACATATTTCTCATGAATGATTTTAAATTGTAAGTATGTATCCTTTATTTATCCATAAAAAAACAGGAACTGACATTAAAACTGTATGTGAATGTGAACGTCTATGTGAATGAATGTGCAGCAGAAATTGCGACAAATTTTACATAAATTTTCTGTAAGGATATTTTAAGTAGCCAAAAATGATTGAACTGATTATACTGTAGAAAACTGAGTAGGTACAATAACGTAGACTCATGAACACACTTGCAAAACAGGCAATTTTGTTATTTTTATATAAACACTTTGTAATTCCAGTTGACTACAGGTTACCAACATAAGCAAATACATTAGGCATAAAATCGTATAGAAACATTAGAAATCACGCTATAGCAGACGATCGCTTTTTGACACATCACCTGGTTCAAAATATTATGGACGGTTACATTGCGGATGGTGGGGGCGGTGGTGATAACAATTCTTCTCAAACTGTCATGAAATAAAAATGTCTCTCACTTTTGACATTTTGAAAGGCATATTTAGAAAACCAGGGTAAAAAAGAGCGTTACACTAACGCAATACAAACACGACAATGCTACAGGTGATCTTAAATCGTACCCCCGACGCCCCCGTTTTTATAAGTGGCTGCTTCCGCTTGCTGCTACTTCCGTTGGCGTCGATTTTGTACATTAAAGCTTTAAGGCTGGACAGGTACGGTCAGACTGGAGAGGGGGTTTGTAAATTCTGATATTGATATAAACATTTTGACCTGATTTTAGCCTGTTGGTTGCCCACAACTATAGCTAGCCCAAACAATGAAAGCAACTCAAGTTAGCTTGTTTGTGTTTTCTACCCTTGTTGTTTTGTCAACCGGAGAAAACGAAAGAATTTCTTGACCTTTCACCCAGTTAAACATTACTGTGTGACGCCGTGTGGCTGCTCAATCTCAGCGTGACACCAGCCTTTCCCATCAACCGATGACCATCAAACCATTTCTTCAGAATCAGAATCAGAATGGGGTTTATTGCCAAATGTTGAGCAGGTTTACAACATTAGGAAATTGCTGCGGTGCTTCAGTGCAAACATGGTGTCATAAATAACACTTAAATAGACATGGAAAAAATAAAAGTAGGGATAAGAATTAAGAGTGCTACGTGGAAAGATATGTGCATGAGATATACATG